CTGTTGGAATAATTCATTTGTGCACCAGTTTTTTTGCTTCTGTTCATGGCTCATCACTCAGTGACACTCTGGTGCTTGAGTATCTCAGACATGAACATGATGCCCAGCTTTGTAATGGTCTCCTCTTTCCTGCTGTACCCAAAGGCGAAGCTGTGTTTGCACGGTGCCTGTCGTCTCTCAAGGATGAGAGGGTGCAGGCCAGTGAGCTGCTGGAAGGGCCCAAAGTGACGCAATTCAGTGGGAACAAGAAGGCCTTCCTGGAGGACATCCGCAAGGTGAGTCCTTGTGCAGGGTTAGAGCAGGTCTGGGATGCTGTGAACCCTGGGAGCTCTTGTGTTTATATTTTATGGTTCCTGCTTTCAGCACCATGCATTGTCTCATGATGTCCACAAAGCATAATGGGACCCATTCCCAACCAAAGGAAGGTTAGGAAGGATCCAGAAGGAATTCAGCTCTAAGCCACAGTGGGCAGAGACATCTACATGGGGTACAGAGATCATAATTCATGCACAGGAGCTTGTCCACCCCTCAACACTCGTGTCTTTGCCTGGGTATTGCTCTCTTGATCTCTCTCTGTTGAAACCAAACTTTCCAATGAGAAAGGATATTTTGGTTCTCAAATAACTGGAATGTTGCTACTGTACTCATCCCTGTTGAGATGTGGGCTGGACAGAGCATGTAGACTGTGAAGTTTGTTGTTGAACTTTGTGAGACTTCTCTTGGAATGTGAATTTGATTTTTTTTTTTTTAGGCCCTGTATGCTTCCAAGATTATCTCATATGCACAAGGCTTCATGCTGCTGAGACAGGCAGCCAAAGAATTTGGCTGGACACTGAATTATGGTGGTATTGCACTGATGTGGAGGGGAGGCTGCATCATCAGAAGGTAATTGAGATTCAACAACAACAGAATTCAACAACAGAATCACTAGATTGGAAGAGACCTCCAAGATCATCGAGTCCAGCCCATGCCCTAACACCACAACTGATTGCCACATCCAGTCGTTTTTTAGATGAGATGAGGAGGTAACCTGGCTGCTGAGGGGAGAAGAGCAGGCAGTTTAGTTTATGAGGTGCTTGGCTGACAAGCCTAGAGATTTCCTTGGAAAATCCATGGAGTTACTCTGCTGGTAAGATTCTGAGAGGCTGTAGACAACACCAAAGTTTACTAGATGAACCCACTATTCTGGTGGCTTAACTGCTGAAATATTTCTTGATCTTTGTCATGTTTGCAATCTGAGTCTGGCTGAGTCAAGTTTTGGCACTGCAAGTTTTGGATTCTGGGCTTTGTTGAAAGCTGTGACATTTATTCCTGGTTAACTTTTGCCTAGTGTGTTCCTGGGAAAAATCAAAGATGCTTTTGATCGCAATCCTGAGCTCCAGAATTTGCTGCTGGATGATTTCTTTAAGAGAGCTGTAGAAAACTGTCAGGTAAGTTCCAAGGAAAGGAGACCATAAAAACAATAATTAACAGTCAATACTGTCACGGTTCTTCTCTTTGATACTGACCAAGTCATGACTGGAAACTGAAGGTTCCCATTTTACTGTAACAGAATGGCCTTAGGCAGAAATCCAGCAATTCAGAAGGGCCATATATACATATATATACTCATATATATATATATGAGGAAAAAAGGCCTGGCCTGTGTGAACATTCTCACCACTGCCCTGTGTCTTGTGCCTACTGTGCAGTTGGATTCCAGCTGAGCAGACCATAAAGCTGTGTTCCAGTACCATTGTTTGCAGTAGCCCCAGAACAACAGCTCCAGATCCACACATTCTTTAGGCCTGTGTCTGTACAAATAGTGTCCGGGTTTGGAGCTGACAGGCGGAATTGAAACCACATTATCTGGTCAAAAAAAGAAGTCTCATATTATCATTAGTAGTTCTTGTAACTGAATCTGAATCTGAATATTCCATGGAAATGACTAGACCAGATGAACTGTTGAACTCGGGATGATCCACGTCTGTCTGAAGTATCAGTGCTGTCCTTTCAGGCCCTTGGGCAAGCTTTGTTCTGTGCTTGGTGAGAGCTCCTGGAAGTGCCTCAGAGCTCAGAACATTCACCCTTCCCCACTGAATCCATGCTTTTGAGATGCTCTGACCACATTTATGTGAAAGAACAGCATCCTTGCTTGCTTGCTTGCTTGCTGTGATTTGACTGCATGTCTCAACTGTTCTCGTCCCGCTGTTGACTCTCTTACTTGCCATTATTTTAGATCAACCTCGTTTATATAAAATCAGTATATATCATATATGATATATATATATATAAATATAGTATATATAAAATCAGCAAATACTGCTGCAGTATTTGCTCAGCCTTGGTTATTAGATTTCATAGAACATGAACTAGCACACACAGTTGTAGTGGAGTAGTTCATGTGCCTGCACATATGTCTGAGCGAGCACTGATCAGTTTTCCCCCTCTTTTCCTCTCTCCCAGGAGTCCTGGCGCCGTGTGATCAGTACTGGAGTGCAAATTGGAATCCCTATGCCCTGCTTCACTACAGCACTTTCTTTTTATGATGGATACAGGCATAAGATATTGCCAGCTAACCTGATTCAGGTAGGTACTGAAATCTCATTGTGCTGTTATTTAAATACTGCTTTAAAGGCCTCGATGGCAAATATGTCCTAATCACTCACAGTATAGGTTGCTTAATATATTTCTGTTGTACCTGAAATTCATGTCAGTAAAACACTTAGAGACAGCTGGATAAAGAACACCAGAGATACTGGTATGGCAGTGCCCAGTGTGTGTTTGTATTCCATCTGTGAACCAAGGGTAATGATATATTTGAACTCAAATGGTTTGTAGAGAAGTATCTTTGAATGTTTGGATGTATGGAAGTGCTTGTTTTTTAGATTAGTACCAAGCAAAAATCCTATACTTGCATTTCTGCAGATCTCTTAATTTAATTATTAGATATTAGTAAATTTTTCATTGCAGTGGTTTTGCTAATAATGAGAAAATAATTTTGAGTGTTACATTATTGGAGTCTAGTCTTATTTCTACTATTCCTTGTTAGGTAACAGGAGGTGCAATTTCTAGAACTCATATGGTATTGACATTTGTGTGTCTGGTTTGTCTGTGTGTTCTCATTCCAGGCGCAGCGTGATTACTTTGGTGCACATACATATGAATTGTTATCAAAACCAGGGGAATTTATCCATACTAACTGGACAGGCCATGGAGGAAACGTGTCCTCTTCTGCTTACAATGTCTAATGGAAATCCTTCCACTTGGAGCCAAGATACTGGAGATCTCAGATATTTCTTCTAGAATATCACTTTTTACTGTACTCTGCTAGAACTTTTGTTTGGACACTTTTGTAACAACTTGTGGGTGTATTTCATACATATATGTATATCTCTCTATATGTATCATATAAGAAAACAAAATAAATTTAGTTATAAATGTGTTGAGGTGTTTTCTTTCCACTGGTGCTGGCCAAAACTAGGTAAAATGTTTTTGTGCAGGATTTAGTAGAATTTATAGTTATGTTAGGTTTATAGTATTGTAGTGAATAAAGTCCTAGGGATCAAGACGGAGGTGACTGCAGTTCAGGAAGTGGCAAACAGCACAGGAACTTAGGAGGCTCCAGGCAGATAAAGGCCTTTCTTTCGTTGCCATGGTTTATTCCTAACAGGCAGTAGCTTGGCTCTTACAGATTTAATTCCTGGGCATTCAGTCTGAGCTCAGTCTGTCACACTGAGCTCTCTGTGCTTTTTGTAGAAGGTGGGATGGATCATGGAGAAACAAAATTAATTTTCTCCCTCCAACTCTTGTTCCTAGTTTTAAGCTCTGGCATAAAGACTTTGCATTGCTGTGTGCTTGCACTTTCCACGCCAAATCTCCGCGATTCTTTGCCTCTTCTTCCAATGAGGCAATTAAAAATACCCACAGCAGCATGCTAAGTTGACTGTATTTTATATCCTCTCCCTGCAATGCCAGTCATCTTCATGTTATAAATGAAATTAGACAACTCGGTCTATTAAATGAACGACAATTAAGTAAAAATTAATACAATTTAGTAAAAAAACCCCAAACAATTTAATTTGCCAGTAATTAAGTATGATTAAAACATGAGCAAAACCGACCAGGGTACAGAGAGGGCTCCTCACCCTACCTCACCTACAAAACAAAGCAATTTAAACTAAACTTATTAATGAATATGTATAAGCATATAGTATATATTTCCTGTAAGTTTCCTCCCATTTTCAATTCTTAAATTATATGTCACTGTCCTTCATGGCACATGCTTCACTTGCTGCTAGGGGGTCTTCAGTCTTCTTTTGGTCTTTGGATGAAGGCTTGCACTCAATCCTCGTCCTCTGGATAACCTCACAGCTTGCACGTGCGTACCAAGTGTTGTGTTATGTAAGTAAGCACCGTGTTCCAATAACTAGCCTTGCATTTCATAGTTAAAACCATAATTTCAGACCCTATGCCTGAAGTCATTCCAGCTTGGTCCAGCTCAAGGTCGATTCTGTCTTGAGACATTACTTATTTTAAAACTACATCCTGTATCCTATTTTTAACGTGTAACATCTGCAAAGGGTCCATCTGCCTTGTAACACTAATTCCCTTTATTGCTTTATAATAATAACTTTCCGAATAGTTACAACTGAGTTAGCACGAATCATCTCCATTTATCACATTCAGGACTGCTGAAAATTCACCTGGTGTCTAACCTTTTTATTTCTCAAAATCTGTTAAATTTTGTGCTGTGCACACTGATTTATGTATTAATTTTTGGCCATATGTATTTCTGCTGAGACAGCTATTTAGTCACTAGTTGAATACCTGCATACGGTGAATTTCAGACCTTTCAGCTGAGCAGGCAGAAAGACTCGGCAGTTCCATAAAACAAGTGCGTACCGCGGGCGGCAGCGCCGCTGCACGGCGGGGCCCGCGCCTCCCTCACAGCCCCGACATGGCGGCGGCCCCGCCCCGCGCGGGAAAGGCGGGAGATCGCGAGGGCGGCCATGGCGGCGGCCGGCGGCGGGAGATCGTGAGGGCGGCCATGGCGGCGGCCGGCGGCCACGAGCAGCAGCTGCTCGCACAGGTACGGGCGGCACACGGCGGGCCGAGCCGGCTTCGGGGGTTGGGGCGAGGCCGGTGTGTCACTGGCTGCCCCTGCCTTGCTCCCTGCAGAGGCTGAAGGCCGCGGTTCACTACACGGTCGGGTGCCTGTGCCAGGAGGTGGAGGAGGACAAGGACGTGAGGTTCAGCAAACAGAGCATCGCAGCCATCTCGGAGATCACCTTCCGGCAGTGCGGTACAGCGGGGTTACCTGCGGCTGCTCACCGCAGCGCCTGTGGCTGTGCAGGAGCCGTAGCTGGAGACACAGGGCTTCCAAAATCGAACTAAATGTCACCGGGGCATTCTCTTGCATTATATTTTTTTAAGTACAAGAAATGCTAGTTCAACTTTTCAGACCTGATAAAAGCATTTAGATGTATGAGGGAACATTGTGTAGCTACCTGCTTGTGTACGAGTGGTGCCTAATACCCAGCTATGGTCACCTCTCTTAATTGATTTGGCTAACTTGTGTATCTCTTCCCACCCAGTATTTTAAAATATATGACATCTTTGTGTTTTCTCTAGAAATCTTTGCAAAAGACCTCGAAATGTTTGCAAGGTACGCACTGATTGTTACAAAGGTTTTTCGTTTTTTTGTGTTAGCTCCTAGATAATCTTTAAAACGTGTCTTGTAATTCAAGCTTTAAAGGGCTTGGCTGGCTGCTTAAATAGTGTCTGTAAAGTGATGAAATAGAAATTCCCTGTAGGTGCTTTTTGATCTTGGCCTCTTATGGTCAGTGTTGGCAAAAATGTTCAGGGGTGTTTTTTGATTTTATGCAGGCATGCAAAACGAACCACAGTCACTCCAGAAGATGTGAAGCTTTTGGCTAGAAGAAGCAATTCTTTGGTGAGATGCACTGTATTTTCTGTCTTGCAACATTCTTAAACCAGTTAATTCCTAAAAGCATTTGAATGAAGGTTATACATGATGAAGCAACTGTTGCATAAGAAGTTTCACTGTCTTCCTGAGGTAGATAGGCACAATCCAGTAATTTCTAAATTTTCATCTTATTTTGCTTCATGCCACTCTACCTCGTTGTGGTGAGGTGTAACATAGATCTGATTGCAGTTCAAGCAGCAGTGCTCTCCTTGCACCAGGCCTGCTGAAGTTCCAAGTTCAAAAGTGCAATAAGCAGACACAGCATTGTGAATCACTTTGCTTTGTTCCTGGTGTGTTTCTTTGTTGCAGCCTCAATAGCTTGAGTCTGCCTCGAGGTGCTGAGTTAATACTGCTCGAGGTGCAGCATTAATACAGGCACCACAGAATCATTTTATTCCCTCCTGTGCTGATCTATATGATGTTCAGTGGATTAAACTCACTGATGTGTTAAGACATGCTTGTATGTGGATCCATGAAAAATGCTTTCAATACTAATTTTACTTTTATGTAAGGAGATTTTTTTTCCCTTCCATATGTGATTTGAAATACACAACAAGAACTTATCTGAAAAACCAAAGTAAATGTTTTTTGGAGTCTGTCATGTTTCTTGTAATAAGAATTTGCCCTGTTAATTTCTCTTCAGTATTTCTTTCTAATGTCTTGTGAATTAATTAAGTTCCTCAGCAGAGTACTGATTAGCTTATTGTTCCCAGCTAAAATATATCACTCAGAAAAGTGAAGAGCTTGCATCAAGTAACATGGAGCAGAAAGAGAAGAAGAAAAAGAAGTCCAGTGCAGCTAAGGGAGAGAGAACTCCTGGGGAACAAGAAACAGCTGTGTCTGAAAATGAAGATTCCAACATGGCATGATTTATCTTTCGAGTAATGTTTCAGGACATTTTCTCTTACTATCCTAGAGAAACCAGGCTTAGCTTATTCATCTTGCAGGTTAGCTCCAGTAATGAATCTTTAGGTTTTCAGGTGAATGCAACTGGATTTTTATTGTTCCAAAAATTAAGTCTGTCAGAATTCAGTAAGCTTACAGCCAAAATGCCTTAATTGCTCACAAAACGTATCTGTTATTAAAATTAAAATACTTTAAATAAAGAGTTTGAAATAGACCATTCTCACTGAGCCATAACTCAGTATGTGCAACACCCTTCATTCTGCTACTTTATTTCTCTAGTAACTCTGACTTTTTCCTTGCTTCCAATTTTGCTATTTTTGCTCAGGCAATTTGCATATTTTGTTCTTAAGAAGCCATATCTCTTGCTCATTGCCTTGACATGTAAAGTGTTTTTTGCTGTTTCCCTGCTGTGGCACTGCTGGGCTACAGTTGTCACTGCCAGTAATTCCCATTTTCAGGCGGCACCGTGGCTGCAGAGCAGCAGGCAGGGATCCCACGAGCCTCTGCTGGGCTGGCAGAGCCTTACCCAGTGCAAAGGAACTGTATGAGAATGAAAATAATTAGTCAAAGGAAGCAGATTTCTAGGGGTAGCACAGCCATCCATGCGATTGCAGAAAGACCGGAACATAAAAAGCTTGTACTAAGTCCCTGTTCAGAACACCAGGAAACCTTTTTACCTGCCATGGCCTATAATGTTACGATCTGAAAGTGTATATGGGCAGAAGCAAAACAGACAAAAAGTTGCCTGCAAGCTTCTCCCGTAAGTCCAGTCAATTCCCATCTGGGTAGGTAGCCTGGGTAGTTTTGTTTACCAGCTTTAAGTCACTAAACTGTTTAGAATATTTATTAGTTGCACTGTCTAACTCTGACTATGCCATAGTTAAGCTGGATTGTTGCATGCAATGGGTTCACCTGGATGCCTGCTGTAGGAATACTTACCCTGGGCCATTTAAAGCTGTGTTAGGTCAGAGGATTTAGCATGCTGCTACAAAACACATCTGTACCTACTAAAACTTTCTCAGAAGTTTCATTTCACTTGTCTGATTTTTTTCATAGATGTCTTCTGTTCTCATACGAGAAGAGCAGATTGTGCCAGGTGAGAGTTCAAGTGCAGTCATCATGATGAACACACATTCTGCCTAAACATTTTGGATAAGTTAAAGACGGTACTTCTGCAATTTCTTCATCCTCTTTCTTTACAGCAATACTGTATTTATCAGCCCATTCTTTAATTATAGCAGCTGGTGGAAATATCAAAACTAGTCCAACAGTAAGATTAAAAGGTTTTATTAATATTAGAAAAAAAAGCTTTAATGAATTTAAAAATAAGCCAGTTAATACAAAAGCATCATGATGCTACACTAATGATTAGGAGAATAAGACAGCAGACCAAATGCAAGTCTTCTGTCACACAGCATTACAAAGCAATTATTTCCACCTTTACTGTGTTTTACATGATAGTTCTTACACAGCATCCAAGAGGCAGGAGTTCCTCACAGAAAAATCACTGAAGTTGAAGGACTTTGAATTTACTTTAACTGATTAAATCAGCCTGAGAATTCAAGTTCCTAGATCCCAGGCTGGAGCTTAAAGCCAGGCAGCAACTGGCTAACCCCTCTGCCCTGATCACTAACTGTGCCTCAAAGTGTCTTCCAGAGATCCTCCATCCTTTTTACACTGAAAATGGTAGGAGAACAAAGTAAGCAAACTGCCTGGGGCTTCAGGAGTTGTATCCACACTATCAGATGGAAGCTGCTGGCTACCAACCATGTATTGAAAGCCAAACACTTAGATGCTGTGCTTAGCGATACCATTGTTCTAGCATTCTGCAAAAAGTCAAAATCCCTTTGCTTACACAAGTCAAATCACCAGAGGAGTTTAAGCCTCAGGACAATGTCCAGATTTTAGTTGTATGTGTGTATCTATAGCCAGACCACAGTATGACCAGCAAACTATGGTTCCCAGGATGTGTCTTTGCTTGTATTGATTCTAATGCAAAAGCAAAAGCTAAACTGCAAACAGCAATGCAGTCTTATTTTTTGCGTTTTGCAGTGGGCCAGTCCCCCCAGGGAAGCGTTTTCTTGCCCTTGGATGTGCTCCGTAGGGAATGCAGAGTCTGCACTTGTTTGAGGCGCTTGGAGAGCTCCTGATCACAGGCTTCCTGCAGAGCTCCAGCTTTCTGCTTGTCCCACCCCAGAGCCGAGGCCAGCGCTGCTGCATCTTCCTTGGACACCAGCTGCAGCAAGACACATTGTTAACAGTCCTTTTTAGTGACCCCCCGGCCACTAGCCCTCTGCTGACATTAATAACAGCAGGAAACAAAGTTTAGTACTGGCACTTTGGAACTGGAGATCTTCCCAGCTTTCATCACCTATCCCGTGGGCTAGTGGATTTTCAATAATTTGTCAACACTCAGTGCTTGAAGCTCTGTTCAGGCGTTCAAAGGAAGAGAAAGCAGTTACATATTTTCTACAGCAGGGAAAATTAACAGTAGCAAGTTGACAGCTTAAAAGAACACCTTCCTAAATGGTTACAGTTTAGCTAGACTTTCCAATCTATATTTTCCAAAATAAGGAGGTTTTTGTTTTAATTTGGGATGTATAAAAGAAACACAGCTAGATATATAAGCATACAAAAAACCCCAAAGAACCGTGCTGGTAGGACTGCTGACTGATTTGTCAGAGACCAAACCCAAAATTATTTTGTGGCTTTTCAGAGCAGAGTGTGTGGAACAATGTCAGCTGGCTGTTACAGAGGAGCTCCAAGCCAGGGAGAGTGTGACTGAGGAAGAGAAATTAATTAAACTTCAGCACTTTGAAACATATCTACTGACATGCAGCCTCCAGAAGCAAAGACACCTTCCCTTATAGCCTCTCTTTCAGAGGGAGAGATTTATGGTTGTGTCATTCTCACCCACCTCTAGATCCTGACTGTCCAAGCAGAGCTCTGGAGCAGGTTTCTCTTTCAGAGAAGCAAGGACCTGGTCACTAAGTGCTGTTGTGGCTGAAGTATCTCTGCTGCTGGTACCTGTGTCAACCACATCCATCTCCTTCCCTGGTGCAGCCTTAGGTTCTGAAAAGGAGCACAATCAGTACAGCCACTGACAAACACAGGACAGGAAAAGTACCCTGGACTGCTTTGATGGTGAGATTAATAAAATATACATCCAATCTAGGTGCCTCCTGGAACTTAAGAAATCCATAATGTTAAGGAGGACTACAGGATCTAAGCTTTTCTCCCAGTATTCTGCTTTCAGGCTTTGTGAGAAATGTGACACGGCAGCAAGAGAGCTCTCTGCTCAGAGAATTCTTACACTATATACACTACACCTTCTCTTGCACCAACCCCATTTAACAGCAGCTGACCAAATTACTCACTCTATTTTATTTATTCCACTCAGCTAGGAGTTGAAAACCTCCTTCTCTAGCATATAAATGCTCCCTACCTGCAACTTTGTTTAAGATACTGTCTTCAGTTTTCAAGACCTCCAGGTAGAGTTCTAGGAGCTGCCTTGACTGACGCTCTTCTTCTCGTCTGTCCAGCACCTGCTGCAGAGTGTCCTGCAGCACTTGGATTTTGGTTTCACTTTGGGCAAGCTCTTCAGCCAGGTCTGAGCGTGGCACATCAATAAGCACCTTAAAACATTGAGAGGGGTCCTGAGTAACTCATTTTGTGGCACTTACTACAGTACAAACAGAATGTACAAACCCTCCTGAAAACAAGCGTGTTCCACAAAGCTCCTTGTCATAGCAAGTCTATGACAAAGAGTCAAAAGGCATCCAAGAAAGTGTGGAATCATGTGCAATTTTAACAGAAATCTTGAAAACTAATGGCAAAGCACTATTTCACAGTGCATGGAAATATTCAAAGGAAAGGCAGTAGCCTAGCACCTGGGAAGCTGCAAACTGGGGAGGAAAAGGGACAGTTATTTTCATGCCTCACCACAGACAAGGTGTTGAGCAGTCAGAAACTTGAATCATTCAGCTCTGGAAAGTGACAGCAGTTCTTCAAACCCCTCTGAAGCAGACAGACCTGGCCTGCTGCTCAGCCTCCCCTCTGGACATGTTACACAGGTGTCTGGTGTTAAGGAATGAGCCGACCTCATATGCAATTTGGCCAAATCTCAACTCTTTCCTCTCCCAGAACTGGAAGAACACACAAGGAGGGATAGCTGGGGATTAAGAACACTCTTGGACACTTGAGTGTTTCCCTTCAAGGATAAGTTTGACTCTGGCAAGAGCCAAAAGCAGCAGCTGAATTAAGCCTGAGCTCTTGCTTATTGAATCTGTTCTCTACTGAGATAAATGGTTGATGGGCAGATGCAAGGACAGGGACTGCGCATTTCCCCATTGTACCTGGAGGTCTTCTTCAGACATCAGGATGATATTGGACAGGTCATCCTTTAGCTGCCTGGCCAGTTGCTTCCACTTCTCAGCAGCACTGTCCACTTCATCCACAGACTCCGAGAGCCAGGATGTTCCACTGTCTGACACAAGAGTCACCAGTTTCATGGGTCATTCCTGATCACCTGACACTGCCTAATGTCAGTAGATGTATTCTAAACACACCTCCCCTTCCATGCTTCCTCACTCACAGCATACCTAAGCTTTTGCTGGTCCATTTCTCATCCTTGGCCAGTGCCACAAATTTTGTGTTAGATGGCAAACACAAGAAGTAATCTTCATCATCCACAATGGTCCCATCTTCTGCCAGTACCAAGGTGATGGGTTCCCGGGCCTTGTCAATAGCCAGAACACCACAAGCTGCAGAAAAGAAAAAATACTTAACAAAACAATAGAAGTGTCACAGCACTGCCCTTTTATTACCTCCAGCACAAAGGACAGGCAAGTCTCAGTGACTGAGGCTGGAGACCATAACCTGTGTCCTTACAGTGCTGCACATCAGCTGGGGCTCACAGTGGGTCCCAGCAGGTCCCACAGCGAGGTCCCACAGCAGGTCCCACAGCGAGGTCCCACAGCGAGGTCCCACAGCGGGGTCCCACAGCGGGGTCCCACAGCAGGTCCCAGCGCGGCCGCCGCTCACCTTTGTCGCGCAGCTCCCGCAGGCAGGACGCGGCCACGCCGTGCTGCTCCGGCCCGTCCCGCCGCCGCACCACGCATCGCTTCAGCCGCGCCGCCATCAACTGACGTTCGGCAGTGACGCAAGGGGCTTTTCCAGGCAGGGCAGGCGCTGCTGCCGCGGGACCGGCGCGGCCCGAGCGGCCCG